CTGCATGTCCAGGAGTGGCCAAGGTGTGTGGTTCAGAAATGTCTGTGTCTAGTTCTTGGATATTAAACCTCTGTGACATAGCAGAGTCGTGTAAGAAGGTGTCTCATGTCTTATTGATGGTAAGGAAAGCTACACTGCTGCTTTGGTTATCAGGATGCTTAGCTGATCGGTAGAAGTTCATAGGAGCGCTTAACTTAGCCAACTAGTTTTCATGGAAAGGGAATTCTAAAAGCTTTTTTTCCATAGTGCTGTTTGAATATACATAGTTAGCTACTTGCTGTCCTTCCTGAACTGCTGTGCTGTCCTGTGGGACTGAAGAGCACAGACTTGTTGTGTCTCAGATGAAAAAAATGAGGCTATATCATTTTGCGTGGTACCTGAGGGATGCGCTATTAAAATAGTGCATGAGGACAGGCGTTAAGTATCTTATTTAAAATAAAGTAACTGAAATGTTTCAAGTTGAAGATGAACTGAATGTTCAGGTAGTTGAAAAGATTAAAACAAAGAATGCAGTTTGTGTGAATATGGAAGAATATTTGTCTAGATCATCTTTCAGGTTCATTAAACAGCTGTAAGTGATTTAAATACTAATTAGAAAGCTGCACATCATGTTGCAGCCTACCCGTGTAGGCTGAGCTCATCAGAACCTCCTTTTGTTCCCCCGTTTCCGTCCACCTTCCTTGCCGTGCAGCACTGCTTTACCCCCTGTGGCAGGGCTCTGTCGGAGGCAGAGACCTGCATGAGGGGCTCTGGTACTTCCCGCCTTCCGTATTGCTGATCCCATTCCTTGCTTCTGGGCCTTTCAAACGTCCATATAACCCTCTATTTCATTGCATATCATGGGGACTGTGGTCTACCTTCTGATTTGCTTTTTTTCCTATGATTCTTACTTATTTGTCTTGAACATTGATAGGCTGAGAAACAGTTTACTAATCCAGAAAACAAGGGGATTGCAGAATGATGGGAGCAAAATACTTTCCAGTATAAAACCTCCCAAGTTAGTTTTAAATCTATGAATAATTGTCTGGTCGGCATATTGCATGCTGCAGACTCTGTGTCTCTTAGATGCCTCTAACATGTTCTAGTTTTCACCAAAATTGACAAGGCTATTCTGATACACAGAACTTCCCCCAAAATTTCTGGAATTCATTGAGTGCATTCGTTATTACATAACAGGTGGTGAATCATTGGCAAGTTGAGGGTATAAGTCGTTTCTTTGCATGGACAGTGATATGATTTGCTTCTTTGTAAAATGTTCCATTGCAGATATTGGGGAATGTAATGAAATAATTTTGCCTTTTTTAGGAGCAATGGATGAACTTCATAGCCTGGATCCAAGAAGACAAGAATTGTTAGAGGCAAGATTTACAGGAGTAGTAAGTGGCAGCACTGGTAGTACAGGAAGTTGCAGTGTTGGAGCTAAAGTAAGTTCTAAGCGCAGTCATTGAGATCTGCCATCTTTGAAATACTAATTTGTCTCATGCTGTCTTATTTGTATATTGCTCATGTGATTTATTTGCAAAAGTATTGGGTTGGAAGAGGCTCTTGGGAAAATCCTTATTAGTCTGTTACTTTGCTTTGAAATAGGACTGTTTATCCTGAACCTGTCTGACATGGACATGGAGTTGTTCTTAAAAATACCAAAGAATGGGCTTATACTGTCTCTTTTGTGATTTTGTCCTGGTGCACATGGGATCAGAGAGGGAAATTTTTCCTATTGTTTGTGACATTGTCCCTTCTGCAGATGGCCAAATACTTAGAATTCAGCTTGCAATAGATACAGGGAGTCTGGTGTGACCTTTGCTTTTAAGATTGAACTTGTTTGAAGGCTAATGTATCTAGATTTAACAAAACCAAATTGCAACTTTTCCAGACATTTATATCTATTTTGCCTACTTTCATTGTAGACGTCCTGCAGTCTGTTTGCATTTAAACCAGGTTGCAACACTTGAGGAAAAATCTTGTGAACATTGAATAGCAGAGCTTAATTACCTTCCATAAGTCATATATTTTTACCCTTCAGTTGATACATATGCAAAATAAATTTGCCTTTATTACAAATTCTGTTCAGGTTACTAGCTTAAATTTCCAAGATAGATCTCTGCAATACTGTTGCCTAGCCAGAGGTACTTTATTTTGTATTTGTGCATTTGTATGTTCTTCACCGAGTGTAGTTCTTAACAAACTGATGTTAAAAGGTTATAGTACTTTTCATAGTACTTTTTTTAAGGCGTATTTCCCCTATGACCAAAATAATTTTGAGTTCTGTTTCCAAAGTGTGTGCAGCATCCTCATATTTTAAGCATTTTACACAAACTTTTTTAGTATTTTTTACTACTTATTCCATGTTTTAATTACCAGTCTAGATTACAGAACAAAATACTACCTGATGGCACATATTGTTGACATTTCTAGAGATGTGATGTATTGATGACTATTAAAAAAACTATAAAAACTTTAGCATGTAGTGGTCTTGCATCATAACTTCTTAATTTGTTTTTGAGTGTGATATAAAGGTAACTGTCACAGAGCTGTGAAAAAGGTAACATATCACTTCTGTTACTAAAATCTTAACCAAGAAATGAGTTAGTCAGGGGAAGGAATGGGGTTGGATTGGCACAGTGTCACTGATGAACTGGTGTTTTCTCTTTTTAATTGCCTTCTAATTATGTCTGTAAAAATGTATCATTGCTATGTCTTATAGTTAAAACTGGAGACAACTTGAGTAATTCTGATCCATCTTTGTTTCTTTCTTCCTTGGGTTCTCTAGTACTACTTACTCCTCTCATTTATTAACTCATTATAATTGTTCAGGTATTTGCTCATAAATCAAATGACTTTTTGTCCTTTTTCATTAATAGATCTGTACCTTCTTTTAACTTAGTGTATTTATAAACCCTTCTGTTTTTGATACAGCTGTGCTGGTCCCTTGCCTTATTGTCAGTCTTTCCTCCTCAGAATCTGTCTACTGCTATGTGTGTAAGACGTTTTCTTTAAAAGTAATTGTCAAATTTCTTTGGGTTCTTTTTCTTTAAACTTGGATCCCCTGTGAGTTGACTCTTACCATTTGCATAAATCTGTTCAGGTCTATTTTTTGTTGTCTGCTGTTCAGCTAATTCCAGTTTTAGCCAAATTATGTTCCACTGTCAGGTTCCCAGTTTGTTCATCTAAGTTAGCTAGGGGAAAAGTAAAACAGCTAGTGCCATGTAAACCTTGAATTGCTTGTCCCTGCCTGAGACATTTAAATACCTGCTTGAACAGATCTGTTGATTTTCAAATGGATAGCTGGATAAAGTGGATATTTTTTAATACTACCAAATACTTGGTAATTTTCAGTAGAATATACTGCTACCACTGTCTTCTGATTGTCCTCATCGTAGACACTGTTCTTCTTACCTTTGACAAGAAATACTCCACAGATTCTCTTCAGCATACAGTGCAATATCTCTTCTTTTTCCTCCTTTTTGTTTGGTTTTGGAGCCAGGGAATTAGAAGGGAATATCAGTATCTAGTCCTATGATTTAGCCCACCATCAGTAAAATAGCAGTCAATCAGTTTAATTTGTATTTATTTTATTTCTGACCATTCAGTGTATCCAAGCAGATAAGATGAAGTGCAGTAGCTGATCTGGGCTGTGTTTGGAATATGCTTGCTTTTCTCTTTTTTTTTTTCTCTTTTTTTTTTTTTTAAATATAGTCTTCAGTCTTGTTAGGAAAGGCTGAGAGAGGCTTTTCAGATTTTTATTTTAAAGAAACTGATAAACCCTTTTTGATCTGTTGTGCAGAGTTAACTGGGAAAATTTAATGTATAAATATGATCTCCATTGATCTGCTTTCACTTTGAAAAAAAAAAAAAAAAAGAGAAAACTGCCTGTTCGCATACACACCCAAATCCACATGTACCAAATTCTCGTTTTCCTAACCTAGCAAGACAGTACAGAGGTTTGAGACATGATTATTCTTCTAGGAATTAAATGGGGATGGACTGTTATTCATTGGCACTGCTATTTTGAAAACCTACACTTACCTACTGTTTTGTTGAAGAGTTTTGGAACTGTTTGGTGGAAAACAGCCCAAATGGCCCCATCCTCAAGCTTTTTCAGTAAGCAACGGTGGAAATATGGATGTAGGTTACTGAGATTGTTGCCTTAAGTGACTCCAATGACTAGATCCCAAGATATTACAAGGGAACATACATGGAAATTTCATGGGTTTAGTTAGCATTTCTCTAGATGTTTTTATGCAGAGATAATCTAGTTATTCAGAAGATGTCACAGATCAGCACTGTCCTGCAAACTGTTGCAGTGCTGGAATTCAATGCTTTGAAGCAAGCAGAGTGTTTACTTTGAAATTAGTTGTTTCAGTTCAAACTATTTGTTCTGCCTTCCTATATGGAAGTGAATAATCAATTGGTATATGATTTTTTTTTCTTCTTTTAATACAAAGAAGCTCAGCTGATGTTGACAATTTTTGTTCTGTGAAGATGGAACAGTCTTTCGATAAAATGCTCTTGTTGCCATTCTTTGTTCAAAGGATCCCTGAATAAATCAGCCTTGGAAAATGTCTAAATAAATATTGTAACATGATGCTATTTCACAGTTTGGTGTTTTGTTTTGGTTTTTTATCCCTTATCGTTAGTCTATATTTGTTACTTTAGGGGGAATGGTTTAAGAATGTAAAATAATATTGTCAGTAGGTTCTAATTTTCTGTCATTGAACAGATTAAAAAAAAATAATCTCTGCAATAGCATGGTATGTGTCTTGGAGAAAATGAAACCCTCTTTATCTTGGAAAAAAGGAAATTTGTAGTAGTCTCCACACTTCGAGTAGTACTGACTTGTTAAGCCCATTCTGTGGAATCATTTAGTAGAGTTTTTCACTGGATCTTTTGTTATTCTCAAATAAGACTGAAATGTTTTTGAATGTTCTAGGGTTTTTCATGGTTTAAAAGCAATTGAGATACAGAATTTACTGTGCCCTGTTGGAACATCCACCTTCAAATTTCTTATCCCCCTTGCAAATCACAAGTGCTCTATAATTAATCAGTTTTTCTTTGCAAGCATCGAATTTTGTTAATGTTACTTGTTCTAACAGTGAGTGATATCAGAGAATTAGCTGTTTTATAAATCTGTATATAATGTTTAGTGTTTTATTTGTCTTGGTAGGCCTCAACAAATAACGAAAGTTCAAATCACAGTTTTGGAAGCTTGGGATCTTTAAGTGATAAAGAATCAGAGGTAAGTACATGGAGCAGGTTCATTATTACATCAGAATTTTAATGCTAAGAAGTAATAATTTTATATTCCACTTTGCCTTATTTTATGTAGAAGCTTTTAAAATAAAATGCAAAACACCCAGCTAAATAGAAGAAAGCATACCTGACTATAAGACACTGTCCCTTGTTGGAGGAGACATGGCTTGATGAAAATTTCTTTGAATTTTTGGTCATTAAACTAGCTGCTTCTGCTTCTTTATTGTCTCTGTAGTCATGATTTGAGGATACGTACAGCTTTTGGAGCTGTATGTATTTTGTATGAAAATGCTTAAACACTTTGCTGTCTTGTTTAATAAGTAATACATCAGCACAGATAAACTTTGATTAGTCTTCAGCTGCATCTTTGAAAATACTCTAGAAACTAGTTTGCTATGTTTTCTTTAAAAACCTGGGTTTAAAAATCCAAGGTCAGGCAGTAGCTATCATTTGCGTGTGTAAAAGCTGCAGTTGTGACCATAACTGATACAGTTGCACTAATGCAGCTCTTAAAATTTACCTGTTTTGGAGTCAGTGAGTCCCTCTGACAGTTTTGCCTGTGTACATCACAAATTGCATTGGTAAGATTATACCCATTGTAAGCAAGAGCATATTTCTAGTCCAGGCTAGACCTGTGTTTGAGTATATGTACCCCTCCTACAGGGAGGGCTGTTGGGAATGTGCTTTCGACATTATTCTCACACGTTAAAGCTTTATTTTGAGGCCCAATTGTTCATTCACTTAGTCACTATGATGTCAACACTGGCTGAGGTCTGCTTTTATACTGGACTGACCAGCAATTTAGTTGGTTCCCATGACTGATACCTCACAAATAAATGTTCTGTGTTTGTGATTTCATGTTTTCCTCCTTGAAAAAGGCTCTGCTGTGTTTTTTCCCCTTACCTTTCCCAGTTAGATTTTCATTTTAGTTGTACACAGGCTATTTTCTTAACCAGAGGGGTGAGTGAGTCTGTCTGGTTTTTTTCATGGCTTTTCCTAGAAATACTTTGGACGGTGTTAAGAGTAATGCAGTTCTGATGTAGGTGCGGGTATGGAAACATGCTGCAGCAGACTAAAGCTTAAAATACATTATTGCAATTCCTTGACAGAGAAATGAGTCTGTGAGTAGTTGATGATACTTGCAGTAACTTTTTGACAGAGAAATGTTATTTGCAATTGTATATGTGAGATAGAGAGGCAACATTTTTCCAAGGCATGTAAGTTTGAAAGCTCAACCCATATCTTCAATCTCTGCACAGTGTTTTAACATAAAGCCATGCTTCTGGGTAGGGATAAATCATTATTTTTTACAGAAGTAATCTAAAATAGAAATAAACTTTTTACTAATAACTCACCGCACAGGTCTCCAGTGCTACATTGCACAGTACTCCAGGTTTTATCTCTGTTTTCTGAAAGATGTATCTTAATGACTTGGAATAATGAAATATTTCTTAATACATTTTCAGAAGTTGTCAGTTGTATTCACTTACATTAAATTATAATTGCAATATCAAACATGCTAATAAGTTTTTAGAGTTTTTTTCCTAAAATAACAACTGGCTGCTTATATATTGTAAAACCATAAAAAGTTCACTTTATTTCTTAATATTGCAAAGAGGTAGTGGGACTTTTTGGTGTGTATGTGTTGTGTGGTTTGTTTGTTTTTTTTTTTTGTTAATGATGTGACAATGAAGGTTTCATAATAATAGGGAATGTCTCTTCTGGATGGTACTGTAAAAATATAAAGACTTATGGGAGGCAGTGCCATCATTTGATATTGAGAGAGAACTGTTTTATTACAGTGTTTGATCTAGTTGGAATTTGTAATGTATTGCAAAGGAAAACAGCACTGCTGTATTTGTTTGCTGCAGTTGTAAAGCTTTGTGGGGAGGGAAGGGTTTAGAAGGAAATAATTGTTGAAAAATATCAACACCTTCATTATGCATGTAAAAATATTAACAACTAAAAAATCATAAAGCATACTGGAGATTTAAGTGTTGAGAAACAAATAAAATTTTCATTTTATTACACATGATTGTATTTTTTTATCTACAAAAAATAACTTTTTGAATTATGCTTTTAGCAATTCTGCAGTAATGGTAGAAAATATTTAAGTATACATAATACATAAAAATACTTACCTGAGTGGGTTTTTTTAAAGGAGATGAGCTAGTTGAGAGCTGGTACTTAGAAATATTTATTTTATAAAAAAGAATGTGAAAAGTGAAGATCTAGAACGTGAAGACTTGGAGTAATCCCATTAAAATAGAGAGGTAAACTAGGGTCAAGACGGTGATGTATGAGGCTCTGCTAAATATGCCAAGCTGTGGGTAACTTTATAGTTTTACAATCTAACTTTGGATAACTTCAAAACTATTTTGTCTTGCTTATGAAATAGTGATAGTTTAATCTAAATCTTGTCTATATGTAAATCGTCTTGAAGTGACTAGCAACTGCTTCAGTCTTTGTTTATCAGGAGGATACTTCTCAGCCCCATTAGTCTTCATTTTCTTGTAATTTATATGATTCTGTTCATTAGGATTTTGAAGAACATTTTCTAGTGATTGATGTACACTGTACATTACCATGTGAATTTTGTACTTAGAAAAGGTGAACATGACCTTGTTGGGTAGCCTCATTAATAACCTCATTAGTGTGCTAATACTTTTTAGTTTGGAAGGTTAAATTAAACACTGAAAGAAATCAGAAGAGCTTGAGGATATAGACATTTATGAATTACTGAGTTTCAGTTTTAAAACTATAAACCTATTTAAACTTTTTTCAACACAAGACATCAGTCACTGCAGTTGGAAACTAATTTTGAAGGGGAAGTCTTAAATGTGTAGATATTAATTTCCATTTAAACAACTTTTTGTTTCTTGCTATAGTAGGTAAAACTGACTGCATTAGAATGAGAACTACAAAATTGAAAGCTGGAATATAAGTGTGGAAAGCTGGAATAACGTGAAAGTGCTTCGTTAAGTAGCTTCAATTTAGTTTTGTAGAAAGATAACTGTTACCTATTTACCTGGCAGTAGTTGCAAATCATTAAAGTAAGAATTCTAAGCTATGCTTTCTGCTTTTAGAACAAGTCTTAAGTTAATTTCCAGGAGGCTGTGTTGTAGTTTGTAAATGTACAATAGCACATTGGAAGAGTTTGTTTAAAGTAAAGCGTATGTAACTTGAACTTCATTTGTAGCCTGATAATAAAGCAACTAAAATAGTAAAACTCCCAAAGATATTTTTATGAAGCTATCCACAGAGCCAAATCTTCTAAAAAATGCATGGTATAGGTAAGGAAGACCTTTCTTGTCCTGACTGTACTTGAAATATTTTAGGATATTTGTAGTAAATTTATATTTGAAAGATATCCATGTGAAGATTTTGGAACTGAAACATACTTTAAATGCTTTTAGTGGTGGGTTGAAATTTGAGTTTTTATTAGAATTGTCTGTGTTGAGGAGTAATACTGAGATCACAAAGTGACAAGTACAATTATATGATAAAATTACAGTGTCATAAAAAAAATGAAGCATCTTAGCACTGATCTCAGATTTAGTCCGAAATATTAGGGACAATTGATTTCTTGGTTATAAAACAGAGCTCATGTAATAGCCTCTATGCTTACAGGTTACTGGTATGAGACTGCTTGAAGGCTGAATACCCACACAGCTGCAGTGTACCAAAGCAGCCTGTAGAATTTAACTTACACTGGGGAAACTTAACTGGTTTGAATCCTCAGATCAAGGGAGAGCAAATAAAATTTAGAGATGCTTCTGATCACAGCTCTTGTTATTTGTGTTGTGCATGCTGGTTGTAGTTTCTAGGCAACTATGTGTAATACTTATGGAATAAATTTTTAACATCTGTATCTTTTCACTTATTATTGATGTTATTGTTTTACTTTCTTGAGACACAAATATAATGAGATAAGGGGATGGCACTCTCCAAGTGGATAGATATTAAAATATTCAAATTTTGAGCCGTTGCTCTTTCTTTTCTTTTTCTATTTTTTTTAATCCTAAGCAGATTCTGGAAACCTACACTTTTTAGTAAGTTTGGAGATGACTTCTTGCACTTCAGACTTGCACTTCTGAAAATCTGTAACAGTATTGGCTTCCTATTGAAGCACTAGAACTTTGTGTTTATACAGGGGAAATGTCTAGAACACACTATCAAGAATCAGCTTATTTCACTAAGCATTAAGCTCTAAAACACAACAATAATTTGAAGATTTTGGTAAAATGCAGCTATAAGTGAAGCAAAATTGGGTGTTCATAATGCTCAGAATGTATGAGAATTGCCTTTTGGGAAACTAAGAATTATTTCTCACTTCTTGAATATCTTTTCTAGTTTGTATTTATCTGATTGTCCAAGGATTGTATTATCTACTTCAACTACGATCTGAAATTACATCCATGCTCAGTTGTGAAATCATGTTTTATGGATGAGGACTTATATTTATTTTCCAATAATATCATAAAAGTAAAAAGAGATGCTGTTGGAATGTGTTGATTTTTAGACTCCAGAGAAGAAACAGTCAGAACCTTCCAGAGGAAGAAAAAGAAAAGCAGACACTCAGAGTGAAAGCAGCCAAGGTAAATGAAAATGTAAATTAATTAGCTAGTTATTGCATGTATTTAATCAAATTATAATGCACATAGTTTGACTGTTAGCCTTAAAAATTCTCTATTTTTGCTTGCATAATACAGGTGTTTGTTTTTGGATGATAAATTACATATCCTCCTCCCACCCCTCATTTGTCCCTGGAAGGGATAGGCAAGTAAAACCTGGGCTGGGATAGTAATTGCCAGTAAGAATCATGTGCTACTGTGTGTGTAATTTGCTGTTGTGATACAATTCTGTTCTTTTTTAAGAATTGTAGCAGCTCTGCACAGCCAAAATACCTTCGTGGTTTCTATTTTTTTAATTCAGTAGGTAAGGGAGAGAAGGGATTACAGATTGTAATATCCAATTGCTTGTTTTTCAGGTGTATTTAAAGTTGAATTTTATTCTTGCTTTTCTATGGATTGTTGTACAGTGTACTTGTATAGCAGGATGGGGAAATAGGGATGACGCTAATTTCCAGTTAAATACTTAAAAAGCATAGTTTTTGTCATCCCTCTCTTTGTGACTTTCTGTGGAGGAATGGTGGAAAGTTAACCTCAACACCAAAATTCATCAAAAAGGGAGCAGAAATAATTTTGATAATGTCTGTATTTGCTTTTTTTTTGTTTTTAACTGAGGTAGGAACTATCACTTCTGATAAATACCAATGGGCTCTGTATCTGGGAGTCCTCATGATGCAACATGCTATTAGTAGAATTATTATGTAGTTTGACTAAATTTCTTTGTAAGTATTGCTTGGTAGAGACCTGCTTTCTTCAAACAACTTGAATGAAATTCCCTAGTTCCATTGTTCTAGTAGCCTGCTAAAAATGAGAGTTGAAATTAGAGCTGATGGAAATTTTAGAAACTTTTTGGCACAGACAACGTGATTATAATGTCTTATAATTACTATTTTACTGTCAGCAGCAGTGAAACTGAGTAGCTTGCACTGAAGTATTCTCAAAGAACTGGCCTGGGAAACTGCAGCATATTGGTGTGATACAGTACGGTTGAAGCACACCAGATATTGCTGTTGTATTGAAAAAAGGAATAAGAGATCCATCTCTTGTATATTGCATGCCTAGAATTTAGACTTTGTAATATGGAAATTAATCCATAAATATTGAAGAAAAGTGTTGTTTAGAACATGCAGATAATTGGAAAGTGGGATAAAATCAATGTAAATCTATTCATAATGAGCCGTGCAAAAATAATTTGATATATTTCTTAAGTGCACAGTTCTGTGACATGACATAGAATATATTTTTCTATACTAAAAAGGAATGCAGTCTGTCTCATTTATCTGGATGAAAACAAATTTTAATTTGATTAAGTGATAAATGAGAATTAAGCATGAAGACAGAAATCACTAGCAGACTTATGGGGTAGGTAAAGACCCAGCTAGAGGGCAGTAGCAGCAATAGCTGCGCTAGCGGAGTAGCTGCTGCAGAGTTGGCTGTGTGCTATTCTAGGTCTTTGGGTATTTTATCTATATATTTATGTTAAATGTCTTGATCCAGAAAGGACTGCCAAATGTTTCTGTTTCTTTGTTGGTATTTCTTAGTGACACGAGGTTATGCAGCAGTGCCGATATAAAGACGTATTAGGCTTCAGGGCTGAAACAACAGAAAAGTTTGAGGACCTTTGCTAAAAAAGTCCAGAATTACATCTTTGGACCTATCAGTAGTGTTCTCCTAATTTATCTGAAAAATTTTTTCCTATTAAGAAAAAAGCTTTGAAAAATTGTCCATTTTCAAGATATCTCCTAACATGTAGTCTGACCTATAGAAGAGACAAATAGAATCTTAAGATTCATCAGTGTATATATGGCGAAATAGAAAAAGAATAATAGAATTTTCATAGAAGTAGAAAATTTATCAGTTTATGTGGCCAAATACAAAAAGCATTTATGCCATTGGGTAAGGTATTGGTGCCGTCTCTGGAGTGTCACATAGCGGTCAGGTCCTCTCATTGAAGAAGGATTAATTCATATTTGTCATCCTGAAGTTTCAGTACTGATTAAGATAAAACTAATTCTGCTTTATTTATCTTCCGAGTTAGCCAATTCATAATCAAGTTGGGAGGAATGAAAATATTTGTCATCCTCCATGCTCACACTCTTGGCACTTAGGGAAATCCTTGGGCTGAACATTTGGACAGAATAATTCACCTGGAGCATATACTGTTAATAGACTTGGTTAATTTGATATTTTGAAAGTGAGTGAATTTTGAGGTAGTGCTTGAAAGGAGGAGGGACTTAGAGGTAAAGATTTGATTTGTAGGATGAAAGATGAGTTTTCTGTTATCTAGAAGAGGTCTGTTTACTGCTAAATCTGCACTAGTGTGGTTTAGGAATCAAAGTATAACTTAATTTCTGATTTCTGAATGAATAGCATATGCAAATGTATTCATTGTAGCAAATTCCTTAATTACTTAGATAGAGAGATCACATATTGGCACATCAAAGAAAACCAGTTAACAAGTGGTAAGCCTTTGTTATAATTAATGTATAGGTAAAAGTGTAAGATATATCTGTAAGTACTTTATTTAATAAATTCTAACATATTCGTGTATGTGTTTCAGGCAAGAATATTGGGGGACGTGGTCACAAGATTAGTGACTATTTTGAGGTAAGGATTTTGTGTGTTTGTAAAACTTACATTAGCTTTAAAATTTACTTTCAGCTTTTTAGATGTTATAAAATTTTTGCTTGTAGTGGACAGGCCTCTTGAGAGGATTTTTTTTTTCTATATGTAAGTGTAAGAGTACTAAGCTTTGAAGTAAAGATCCAGTGGCCTCTTGGCATACAGCCAAAATACAAAAAACCACTTTCTTTCATGCCCTTCTTTAAATGAAAAAACGCTACACTAATAAAAATAATACAGTCTGATTTACAAATTCTGTGTACAGATGAGCTCTATCATTCAGTAGATGTATAATGTGTTTTGATAAGAAGATTGACTAATTGGAATGCCATATCATCTCTACAGTACCAAGGTGGAAACGGCTCTAGTCCAGTGCGAGGCGTACCTCCTGCAATCCGATCTCCTCAGAATTCACATTCCGCTCCTTCTGTAAGTTTGTGAACTTCATAACTGCTGGAGATACTTCAATAGTCTAGAAGTAGCATAATGGAAAAGAATCTATCAAGGAAAGAGTTTTCAAAGGAAAGGAATCCTGGAAAGGAGTTCTTTCTTTCAGCAGCTGCGG